GGCCCGCGCATCTACATTTTTTCGCCTGACCCCATCAGTGCCGACCCAACTACACCACCACGCGCATGCCTCGCGGCGGATATGCGCAGCAGCAAGAAGGTTTCGGTCATCCCTTGAGGGTGAGTCTAGCCCTGCTCGCCAGAAAGACCCCCCCCTTCACTACAACCCATGTCTAAGCAAAAGCTTGTCGAGGAGTGAGGGGAAGAAGGAAGAGTTGGAACATGTTCAAATATTGGGTGTGCCTTTCAAATCGGAACAAGCGGTGTTGTTGTTTTTCTGTTCGGTCCGGCGGGGCCACTCGCGCTTTGGTTTGTGATCGTTATTTCACCCCGGCTGCAGCAGTTGCATTACCAATGTCGTCACACGCGCGAGATAACGCGAATACGATGTTCTGCAGTAGGCGTCGGTGGCGTTGGCTGCATTTGCTAGCGCGTTGACGAACGTTGCACGAATATTTGTCTTTCACGAGTCGCTCAAGTTCATCCGCGGACCCATAGCAAAAAAAAAGAAAAGCGGCTAGATACATATTCTTGATTTGTGACGTACGTATTTCAGTGGGAGGTGCATATGCACGGCGGCACACGGGAGCGAATGCATAACCCCTCAAGTACAAGCACGTGCACTGTCGGCCGTGAGAGCGCCTGGGAGGGGCGGCAGGCACTGTGAAGCCGAGTTCAGGCACACGTACACACGCCCGTACCGAGCAGAAAATTTGGGCACAAACGACAGCGCAGGGTACGCACGCACGGTACGAACGGTAGAGCAAAGTGCACTCACGCACGGTACAAACGACAGAGCACAGGGTACGCACGCACGGTACGAACGGCAGAGCACAGTGCACCGTACAAACGACGGAGCACAGGGTACGCACGCACGGTACGAACGGCAGAGCAGTGTACGCACACACCGTACCAACGACAGCGCACAGGGTACGCACGCACGGTACGAACGGCAGAGCACAGTGTACGCACGCACGGTACACACGACAGAGCACAGGGTACGCTCACACGGTACGAACGGCAGAGCACAGTGTACGCACGCACCGTACAAACGACAGCGCACAGGGTACGCACGCACGGTACGAACGACCGAGCACGGGGTCGCACGCACGGTATAGCATGGTCGAAGGTCCCCAGAACCCACTTCGGGCACAAACGGCAGAGCGCAGGGTATACGCACGAACGGTACAACATGGGCAAACACCGCGCACACACAAAGTACCTCACAGCACATTGAGATCCACGGACGCCTACGCACAGCGGTATGTGGGAGTATTCCCACACGCGCAGGCACACGTATTTGGTCGAAGCACGCATATACGAGGGCCTACACAGCGGGGTTTCGCGTCGTTGCTCGTCATAAGTACCGAGCGGTACAGACGCGAGGGACGAACACGCACAGCCCTTGTGGGGGGTACAGGCTTTTGAGCCGGGCACGACGCACTTGCACCGCACGTTCAATGACGTCCAATGCCTTCCTTTTTTTCTTTTCGCATGGCCTGTCTGGTTGGTACTTCATGCGGCACGGAGTGGTCGACTAGGTTCTCGCGCATCATGGAGTACGTTACGGACCTCGGAAGGGCGATGCACATTGGGCCCGGGGGATGTGCCACGCTGATGACTCAAATGAGCGCTGAGCTACGCGAGCTTGATAAGCTTGCAGGTCAAGACATGACCACATTCAAGGAGCGCGAGTTCACGGCCATGTGGTGGCCATGATAGATCATTCTGTGTTGGTACAGGGCCCGATCGTAGGATGCATGGCGCTGTATCAAGAGTTGGCGGCTTCATCGGAGAAAAGCAGCGCAGTTGATTACGAGGCTCTGCGCAAAAAGTTCAAGGAGGCGCGCTTGCAGGCAGGATTGACCAAGCAGCCCCATTGGGGCGGCTTGGGCGGCGGTAGTGGAGGCTTGATAGCAGGCGGCATGCAACCACTTTATTTGGCGCCGGCGTTCCATGCCGTTGCACCCGCTTTTCCCTCGTTTCCGCAACAGTACGCACAGCACACGCACAGGGGTTTCGGAGGAGCCGGGCACTACGGCCCGTCGCACAATAGGTTTAGCGGTCGCGGTTTCGGCGGGAACCCTCGGGTTGGCCGAGTTGGTAAAGGAGCAGGGAGAGGCGGTGCCGCTGTCTGTGGTAAATGCTCGCAGATGGGAAAGCCCGCTGACCATTCTTTCAGGACGTTCCCGGAGCAAGCGTGTTTCAAGTGCGGCATGCCGGGGCACACATCGACTCGCGCATTGAAGCCAGTGCAGCAGAAGCAGGCAGCCAGGGTAGCAGGATACTTGGCCATGACCGTGTTTTACAAGGCGCGGTTCTTTATGTCCATACCAAATGTGAGCTCGAAGCGACCAACAGACTGATCTATTTAGGAGTGGTGTGCGACTCAAAGGAGCAGAATTTCTTTATTCCGGAGGAAAAACTGGCGAAGATGGAGACAATCCTCACCGAGGCACTGACCCGAGGAGTTATGTCGTTTCAGGCTTTGGTAAAGCTCGCAGGGAATGTACAAGCATGTCAGTCGCGTGTCCAGCGGCAGCTGTATACGCACCACATGTACAAGCGCATCGGAATGTTTCAGAGAAACGGAGGACGGAAGAGAAACATGGACATTGACGTCCCCAAGAACGGCGGTTTGCGCTTTGAGATGGTGAAGTGGTTGGAGGTACGAGAGAAGATGAACGGAGCTGCATGGTACGCGGCACGGCACCAGCAACTGACGATAGAAGGGGCGTCGGACGCATCGTCGGCCGGATGGGGGGGGGGGGGGGGGGGNTGCATCCTGCTAAGGGTTTTCGGCATCTTGTGCTTACTTCCTTGCGTACGGATGACAGCTGGATGGGGTGGTTTAATTCGATGTCCAGGCGAAGAAGTGTTCCGCGTAGCGGGTGATTTCCCAGACGATTGGACCACACAGCACATTAACGAGCAAGAAGCGTACGCGATTCAACAGCTTTTTTTGGTCTTGTGCTGTCAGCAAAGACCAATTAGGGTGCGAGGTTCGACGATGGTCGTGGATGTAGGCAAGCTCTTTTCTACGCGTTGAGAAACGGGAAGTCTTCAAACACTCGTTTGCACGAGGTTGTGGCGGNCAGGCGAAGAAGTGTTCCGCGTAGCGGGTGATTTCCCAGACGATTGGACCACACAGCACATTAACGAGCAAGAAGCGTACGCGATTCAACAGCTTTTTTTGGTCTTGTGCTGTCAGCAAAGACCAATTAGGGTGCGAGGTTCGACGATGGTCGTGGATGTAGGCAAGCTCTTTTCTACGCGTTGAGAAACGGGAAGTCTTCAAACACTCGTTTGCACGAGGTTGTGGCGGAGTTGTTTTGGCTACAAGTGCAGGCGGATTTCACCCTCAACGTACAGTGGGTTTGTTCGAAGGCGAACGCAGAGGCGGACGATTTGTCGCGTCCAGACGCAGATGTGTACGTTCGGTTGGAGGAAGAAAAAATCGCAGAAGTGTGGCGATGGGTTGGTAGACCTTTCGATTTGGATCTGATGGCCACAGCGGTATCGGCACAACGCATACCAGGAAGCGACTGGCGGTTACCGTTTTACTCGAGGTTTAAGGTATGTTGAGTCAGCATTTGAGGTGTTTACCGGGTTGCGAGGAGGCTTGCTTCGGTTTTTGTTTTCCACCAACGGCAACGATAGAAGTTGTTTTACAACGCATGGCAGAGTGTGGAGCGCGAGCGAGCGGTTGTGATAGTGCCAGACCAACAGCAAACCTGGTATCCAATGCTGGCAGACGCCACAATACGGTCTCACACAAAAGCCACTCAAGCAGAGGGATCGGTATTCTTTCGAATGCACCATCAGCGAGGGAAGGTGTCCTTTGCTTTTAAGAGATGGGCGATGCGAGCTGTGGAGGTGAACTTCGCAGATAAACAATTGGATGATCATTGTGTTAAGTGAATGTGTGTATCATCAGCACTATTGGGCTTGTTAACAGCGGCGAGGCTCATCTTGACTATTCTGCANAGTGCCAGACCAACAGCAAACCTGGTATCCAATGCTGGCAGACGCCACAATACGGTCTCACACAAAAGCCACTCAAGCAGAGGGATCGGTATTCTTTCGAATGCACCATCAGCGAGGGAAGGTGTCCTTTGCTTTTAAGAGATGGGCGATGCGAGCTGTGGAGGTGAACTTCGCAGATAAACAATTGGATGATCATTGTGTTAAGTGAATGTGTGTATCATCAGCACTATTGGGCTTGTTAACAGCGGCGAGGCTCATCTTGACTATTCTGCAGAGGTGGTGGTCTGGTACGGGCCAACAACACCAAAACCGAGGATCATCCATTAACTATGATGATCACTTGATCGAGGTGGCACCTGCACGATCAACAGTTTTGTGCCGCACTCAGAATGTTTGGTTAGGTGAAGACGATGAGCAAAACAGGTATTGCCAATGGTGAGCGAGGGCTTGTACAACGTCAGGTCAGAATTCTACAGTCGGACCCTTACACATTGATGAGGCCGCTCTAGCCAAGAGATACAGCGATTTCAAGGAGGCAACGGCAGATACCGCGGCGATGAGGAGCCGATGCGTGACAATGCTTACATACATGCAGTTTCTTCAGTCGCAAAAAACACGGCGTGTGGTGTCTATGACGGAATCTCAGCCGAGAAATATAGTTGACTATCCTTGCTGGTTGGATACCTGCGGCAAGAGGAGGCGTACGCTTGTGCACGCAAAGGAATGCCAAGCGGTCGCCACCTCAAGCTTAGACGCCTGTTCAACCGAGCAAGGGGCGTGCACCAAGAGGTATGCTCACGACTCTCTGAGAACGAACCATATGTCAAAATCGGCGGTGGCTTTCGAGAAGGAGTTCGGACGCACGCACGATTGGGACAGTCAACGACGAACAGGAAACCCAGTGAAAAGCAAGTTGGTGACATTGTACATGCGGTTTACAACGAAGCAGCAAAAGCAAGCAGGGGTACTCGTGAAACAGGCGCCAGCGATCTTGCGCAGCCATTTGCATCAGATACTGGTTCCTTTGAGGGCCGAGCTCGATTTTTCAACATCGGCGGAGAAGAGGGTGACCTTGGCCCGAGATGTCGCTTTCTTCACAGTAGCGTTTAGTACGACGAAGAGGGGAGACGAGTTGGTAAACACGCTCATACAACGTATACTGCGGCTACCCAACAAGAGCGAACTTATGTTCAATTTCGAATGAGGGAAGACGCAGCGAGATGGGGCGGATCACGTGTTATCAGTGGAATACGATTCGGAGTGTCCGCCTCTGTGCCCTGTGCGTGTGTTTGGATACGGACTGGTTAGATCTACCGGCAACAACAGAGGTCACGCAGATGGTGCATATGAACACCTTGAAATGNGAGTTGGTAAACACGCTCATACAACGTATACTGCGGCTACCCAACAAGAGCGAACTTATGTTCAATTTCGAATGAGGGAAGACGCAGCGAGATGGGGCGGATCACGTGTTATCAGTGGAATACGATTCGGAGTGTCCGCCTCTGTGCCCTGTGCGTGTGTTTGGATACGGACTGGTTAGATCTACCGGCAACAACAGAGGTCACGCAGATGGTGCANCAGCCATTTGCATCAGATACTGGTTCCTTTGAGGGCCGAGCTCGATTTTTCAACATCGGCGGAGAAGAGGGTGACCTTGGCCCGAGATGTCGCTTTCTTCACAGTAGCGTTTAGTACGACGAAGAGGGGAGACGAGTTGGTAAACACGCTCATACAACGTATACTGCGGCTACCCAACAAGAGCGAACTTATGTTCAATTTCGAATGAGGGAAGACGCAGCGAGATGGGGCGGATCACGTGTTATCAGTGGAATACGATTCGGAGTGTCCGCCTCTGTGCCCTGTGCGTGTGTTTGGATACGGACTGGTTAGATCTACCGGCAACAACAGAGGTCACGCAGATGGTGCATATGAACACCTTGAAATGGTTGCATGTGCGGGGACCCCTCGAACTCCAAAGAGGGCTTCACTTCTCCCTACTCCCCTTGCGTGTCTAGTACAAGAGATAAAACCTCTTCCCCTTCCAAGTAAAGGACATATACGAACACACTAGTGTCAGTCCCTCGAGGGAGAGTCCATTAGGAATGTCAGGTCGCAAAGATGGGGGTGACTCCTCCAGCGACTCTGCGGCGGAAGACAGAAAGAGGTCAAGAGAAGAGATCGTGGCCCTGAGGAGGCAACTTAGCTCGCTGACGGATCAGATGAGCCAGCTAATGTCGCTAGTGGAAGATGCCATGAAGGCAAGCAAGAAGGAAGAGCCAGCTGGCACCATGGAGGGTGCCGCTGATCGCGGCGATGCTAGGGAGAGCGCCGCCGCGGAGTCCACGAACGCCGAAGGAGGGGCACCGTGGACCGGGAGTGCGCAGGATTGGAGGTACCTCCGCGAACCTGTTCGAGAGTCTGGCCCGTCAGGGCGACACAGCGGCGAAGCAGGGGGCTTTGTCCCCCAAGAGGTGAGAGTAGCCGCTGCTCACAACCAAGATCATAGTAGTGCCATGGGAGATGGTGGTGCTGCTGTTGGCTTTGGATACGGAGCCACAACCCCAGCGACGGGGTACCAAAGTGTGCGGTACACTTCTCCTCCGTTCAGCGGGAAATCGAAAGATTTCAACGAATGGCTAAATGATTTCCGCATGGCAGCTAATGGCGCAAACCTGTTGGAACAACTTGAAGAGAGCGGGAGCTTGGAGATCCCCGTCAACAGCGGAAAGAGCAAGTGTTCGCTGTCACAGCAGTACCGTAGCGAGCAAGTAGAGCTCGCATTCCACGCGTGGAACTTCCTGTCTCACGCGTTGAAAGAAAAAGTTCGGAAAATCATGAAGAGGGCAGAGACGCCCCAGGGAGCTCTTCGTGAGCTCAAGACCATACACGACCCTGAATCATCTGTACAGCCGTCAGAGGACCTCAAGTCCCTGACCTCGACCAAGATCTCTAGAGGTGAAAACCCCCACAACGCCCTAAGTTAGATGCTTCAAACCGCAAAGTCCTTAACCGAGAAAGGACTAACTGTCAACGAAACGTTCGTCCTTAGCCTCTTCCTGGATGCCCTTTCGCACGAGTATGCCATGACAAAGCACAACCTGCGACACGCGAAGGAGTTGACGCGGACCGGTGTGCTAAAGGAAGTAATGATCGAATACAAGGCGATCAAGGACAAGCTGGAGCAGGGGAAAGGAAAAGGGGCCAAGGGCGCAGAGCAAGCGTACTTCGCCGGCGGTGAGGGCCGCAAGGAGCGGTACTCAAGTAAGAGTCAGGGGCAAGGTCGTGGTCGTGGCGGCGGTCGTGGCCGCAGCAGCAGTCGTGGCCGCGGCGGAGGCGGTCGCGGCGGCCGCTCAGGCGGATCCGGAGGAGTCGAGGAGAGCAAGGGAAGCAGCAGTGGAGGCGCCGATGGCGGCGGTGGCGGGGACTATAAGTTCCCGGGCCGGTGCTTTAGGTGTAGATATCGTGGACATCAAGCGACCGGCTGCACTACAAANCAAGGTCGTGGTCGTGGCGGCGGTCGTGGCCGCAGCAGCAGTCGTGGCCACGGCGGAGGCGGTCGTGGCGGCGGCGGCAGCAGTCGCGGCGGCCGCTCAGGCGGATCCGGAGGAGTCGAGGAGAGAAAGGGAAGCAGCAGTGGAGGCGCCGATGGCGGCGGTGGCGGGGACTATAAGTTCCCGGGCCGGTGCTTTAGGTGTGGACATCGTGGACATCAAGCGATCGGCTGCACTACCAACGAGAAGGACTTCGTGCCGTGGTGTGCGCGCTGCGAGGGGTGGGGCCACACCAAAGAAAAGTGCGCGACGGAGGAGGCCGTCCTAGCGCAAGTGGTGGAGCATGAGAGCGACGTGGACTCCGTGGAAGACCAGGCGTTTTGTGCCGTGGCAGTCCCCCCAGGCGAGTGTGGTACCGTTGGTGAAGTAGGTCTAGTGGGGGTTGTGGAACAAGGCCAGGCGGTGTACGTGGCCGACACAGCGGCCACGTGCTCCATGTTCCGATGTGCAGACAACTTCGTGAACTACCGTGAGCGTAGCGGTTGGGTGAAGGGGATCGGAGGCGACAAGGCCCCCGTTCCTCTTCTAGGATACGGAGATGTGACCTTAGTCCTACAGACGGAAGATGGTGGAGTACCCGTACCAGTACTGAATGCTGCCCATGTACCAGAGGCCCCCTACACCCTCCTCTCGCTATCTTCGTTGTCGGAGGAGGGCCACACGTATTCGGGGATGAAGGGGGCCCTCACGCTGCCNCGTAGCGGTTGGGTGAAGGGGATCGGAGGCGACAAGGCCCCCGTTCCTTTTCTAGGACACGGAGATATGACCTTAGCCCTACAGACGGAAGATGGTGGGGTACCCGTACCAGTACTGAATGCTGCCCATGTACCAGAGGCCCCCTACACCCTCCTCTCGCTATCTTCGTTGTCGGAGGAGGGCCACACGTATTCGGGGATGAAGGGGGCCCTCACGCTGCCCACGAAAGCCGGGGGGGAGGTGTGGTTCCCCCGGACTGGAAAGCTGCTGACCCAACGAGGCTATCAAATATNCGATGTCCAAGGGACAGGTGAAACCCGTCCAGAAGAGCACGAGCACACACGCAGTTAAGAAGTTACTTCGCGTGTATCTCGACTTGGGGGGAAAGATGAAAACCACGAGCATTGGTGGCAACTGGTACACACCGATCATCAGAGACGATTTCTCCCGTTGGACGCGTGTTTTCTTCTTGAA